CTTCTCTCAATTCAAATACAGACTGTATTATAAAGTGTTTAAACCTAAGTCACATAGCATTTACCAAGTTCACAATGCATTAGCTATGTGACTTAGGTTTAAACACTTTATAATACAGTCTGTATTTGAATTGAGAGAAGAGTCAGTTCGAGTCTCTGGGATTCATATGTATGTAATAATCTTAAAATAATAGCCACAAATTTTAAAACAAACAAACTAGAAAACAACTAGTTTTTATTTAAAAGTAAATATCACACCATTGTTAATTTTATATGACTTCAATCAAGGTAATAAAATTGTTAATATTAAAAATTACAGTATCAACATTAAAACAAAAATTAATTTAATAATTTTTAAAATATAAAATTAACTTAATATACTTTTAAAATAAACTAATCTACAAATCTCCATGCTTAAATTAATTATATTTAATAAATAACAAATTTTAGTTACAAGTATCATGATACTCCCACAAATACTTTGCCTGTGGATCCCACAAATTACATCATCATCGACGTGTACGGGTATCTCAAGAGTCACCCCAAATATAGGCCCAACCCATTGGCGGAGATACTGTTGTACAGCGATTGGGGAGTCGGACAGGGAGTACAGGTGCTGAAGAAGATGATCGACGATAACGGAGCGGATGTGGACTCCCGGGAGGAGACGGAGTTGGCGCGAGTGGTCCGGGAGGTGATGGACATTGAGTTCAAGTTTTATTCACAACTATAGCGATTGGACTGTAATTTTTAAAAAGTTTAATGAGAAATATATGAGAATAAGTTTGTTAACCTAAAATATGGTTGAAAACATCCCAGGATAATTTAATTAAACTCATTTTTTATTTGATTAAAAACAAATTTTAAAATTGTTAATAAACTTGTAACTTATTTTTACAAAATTTTTCTTATAATAAATATGTGTCAAATCATATTTCCCAAATTTTATTTATTTGTATTTAACAATTATATAAAATATTTATCAAGATTATATTTACAGTTTATTAATGATGGCAAAAATGATTGCCTCATTGTAAATTATTTTTAGTATTATATTATTATGTATCACTTAAAGTATTAAATAATCATCATCATATTTTGTACACTCAATTGGTGGCTATTATGCAAAAGGACATTTATTTTGCACTGCAAACTGTATACATAACCTAATCACTGATTTTTATAAGTAAGAAACATTATGTGGTATTATTGAAAGCATTGATTAGTTTATGTATACAGTTTGCAGTGCAAAATAAATGTCCTTCTTTTGCATGTTAGCCACCAATTGTATAAAAGGAATATTTCTACACAACAGTACTTTTATATTAAATTATTAGCAGCTAACTAATTTTTGTAATTTGGATAAATTTGTAAATTTGAGTTAATATACTGTAATAGGAACCCTGATCCAAAATTATATAAAGAAACTGTTAAAACTATTAAATTATAGCATAATATTAATGTTAGCATTCATGATGTTATCATGTTGAGTTATAACGTCGAGGAGTCCCAATTAAGATAATTTTTATAATTGTAATCTGAAATTATATCATTTGTATACAATATATTATATATATGATATAATAAATATTATTTGCAAAAGAAACATATATATTATTTTAAAAACAAATTTGAGAATGATTCAATAAACTACTTTAGCTTCAAAACATATCTATATTATTTAGATTTAAAAAATAAAATCTATCAATATTAATTTAAATAGCACATTTCATTTTGCTTATCAAAATTTTACATAATATTATTAAAGCTTAATTAATTAGAAAATGAAATTAAGTATAAATTCTTATTTTAATATTTAATAAACACTATGTCGGAAGATGACCGACTATGGCCAGAATTTATTGAAATTTTAAACTTTAACTAACCTTTCGATATAATATTGAAATATCTAAAAATTATTTTTCTAACTTTAACCCCTAATGAGCTAGAGTGATTTTTATTCTCGAATTTCAAAATTAAATTCCTGGATAACGACAAAAGATTTT